CAGGGAACTCCACAAGATGAACCATATCGATTGATGCTCGGGGAGAGGAGGACCCCTGATAATAGGCGTGAAGGCCTGATGCGAATCCTGACAAAATTTTGAGATTTTGGCCTCCAGGCCTGGTCAAATTCCTGACAAAATCTGGATGATCCTGTCCGGCCTGTTTGATAGTTCTGAGGTAGTCAGCTTGGGGTAGTGGTTTTCTTATATCATCTGCGCCTTGTTGTATTGGTAACTTTTTTTCGTGGGCCTTGTGTTCGATCCCCTCTGCTTTCCAAATTTCCGTACTTATCCGTAGACTCGGAGCCAGTCTCTACATTGAGCAACAAGACAGCAGAGTATGATGCAAAGGAAATTGAGTCGATAGAATAAAAATTGAGTGAGAAAAAAAAATGGCCGAAGTGTTGCTCGAACGTAGAGACTGGGAGAACTTAACCGTAAGAAGTCCATTGATTTGGGCACGTGATGATTCAATCTGACTTAGAAAAATTTCGACGTTCGAATTTCTGACCTCAAGTGATGGAAATTTTGAATTGTAGGAAAGTTGCGGGTATGGCTGTATACATGATATATTTACTTTGGAACAGCCGAAATCCACGTTGTATTGCACAGGAAATATAACAGTACCATTTTGGCACTTTTGGTCCATCCTCCCAATGACCAAAATCAAGGCACTGAAGACAGTTTATGAGTGGTAATGACTTCTTGGGATATCCCTGGCTATTCTGGACCACTTTCAGACCACATATGCACGTAAGCACTTGCCCTATCCTCAAATTCAGTGGTGGTATTACCTACATCTTGTGTGTCTGTGATGTTTACAGTATCAAAGTTCCTGGCCAGGAAAATGCTAAATGGATGCTTCTCAACCCCAGGACACAATTTATGTTGCCTTTGCCATACACTGAGCACGATACAACGCAGAGTCATAGGGGTTGATCGGGTGGCTGTGCACTCGGTCCGGGAACCGACCCTTGACCATTCCATTATTTTCGCCATGGCCCAGACAAATTAGGGAATCCCGATTGAAGCGACCGCTTTCTGGAGTTCCCCCGCAACTTTCCTACGATTCAAAATTTCCATCACTTGAGGTCAGAAATTCGATTCGAAAATTGTTTAAGTCAGATTGAATCATCACGTGCCCAAATCAATGGACTTTCTACGGTTAAGTTCTCCCAGTCCCTACGTTCGAGTAACCGTTGCACACCTAATAATCCCACATACGACCTTCTAATAGAAGTGGCATGACGTGGTTGATGCCGCTTCTATTAGGCAGCCGCTACGGTTGCGTAGGGCTCCATGCAATAAACCACGCAAATCCTCGCAAAAAACCACGCAAGATTTCGCAATAAAGGTGGGTCGGGGACTTAGAGGTTTGCGGGCGGGTAAGTGGTGGTGCTCGTCGGCATGTCCCGCCTGTCGGGCAGTGCCCGCCACGTCGGGCATTGTCCCACCCACCGTCGCCACTGTCGGGGGTGGGAAAATTTTCTATATATATGTAAAATACACATTAAATATATAATAATGCGGCGCGCTTAGCGCGCACATGCGTGCCCGACACGCCGATGCTCGCGCTCATTGCCCGCTGTGTTCCCGACACCCCGCCCCTTTACTAACCGAAAATTCACTATATATATAAGTAAAATACACATTAAATATATAATAATGCAGCGCACTTAACGCGCACGTGCGCGCGCGATGCGCCAACGCTCGCGCTCATCGCTCGCCGTGTTCCCGACACCCCGATCACTTGTTGACCAAAATTCCTGGAAAAATGCTCATAAAATAGAGAAAAATAAACATCAAATCCTCATGGTGGTATAACTATAAATCAATTTTGGCAAAGAGAAACAATCAGCTAACTATTCATGGCATCCATAACAAAACAAAAAAAGGAGGCAGGAACAGGGCAGGGCGAACTACTTAATCATCATCCTCGTCACAGTCCTTGGCAGAGTGGGCATGTAATGCCGGTGGGAGCTTGCTGACAACCGACTCCTTGCCTTCACCTTTGCAAGCTTCCGCAGCTTGGCCTGCATTTTCTCGAATTTTGTGAGTGGGGCAGAGGGCGACTTGGAGGTCTTCTTGGTCTGGGCAGTGTCTTCGTCATCATCGTCGTTTGACTGCTTACGTTTCTTCTTCTGGTGCTCGCCATCATTGTCGTTGTGGGACTTCTTGCGCTTCTTCTGGTGCTCGCCATCATCATTGTTGTGGGACTTCTTGCGCTTCTTCTGCTGACGCTCGTCCTCGTGCGATGAGGTTAACTTGCGTTTACCGGAGTGATGGCTATCCTTGTCTGACGAGGACTTGCGCTTATTTGACCCACCCCCAGTAGTGTCACGGGTGGTCTTGTGCTTCTTCGTCAGCCCCTTGTTCTCCTTATCCCCCTTCTTCTTCTTCTCTCGCTCCCGCTGCTTCTTCTCCTGCTCATCCTCCGAGTCCCCATAGTCCGATTCGTTCCAGATCCGTCGTGGTGCCGCACCTTTCGCCTTGCTGCGCGTTGACAAGGCCTTGCGCGATACATTCTTGTCCTTGCGTGGCTTCCGAACCTTCACCTCCAGCTCGCCTGACTCCACCATCTCGTCGTATTTCTCCTGTTCAGCCTCACGTTCCCTCCCACTCATCTTGTGCCAGAAGCACTCGCCGCTCTGGAGAGCATCTCGAAGCTTTGTCATACTGTCGACATCATGGATAGTCGCGGGGTTCTTTACTTCGCCATCAAGCGGCCAGCCTTTGAGAATGACGCCCTTCTTGAGGACAATTGACTTCCAGTATTGGACCCAGTTCATCGCGATTTTCTGTGACCCCGTTGCGCCCACTTGAAACGGAAAAAAAAACGTCAAAATCAGTCTCCACCTTTGAACGAAAGCCGTAGAACTCACAATGGCCATTGTGGATGAATTTATTCACCTGCTTTCTCATTGACTGAAGGGTGTCGACCGCAGTCAGCCCTGGCGACGAGGTCAGCTTGGTACTTCGACGGCAAGCTTCAGATTTTTACCTTTCTCCCTCGCGATGCACCACAATTCAAACTTCTCGGCAACATCTCGGGCTGGCTCCCCCATAATCTCCTGGAAGAACTCCAATCCCCCCAAGGACTGACACTCGGTGGGGACAGTCTTGTCGTGGATGTGGCCCCGACTAAACATGGCAAAGCCGACCATCCCCGTCCGTTGTGCAAGAGAGTCAATCTGCAGTCAGAGTTGAGCGAATATCACATTCATATTGTATGAGTAGAATGAATCGATGAATCTTCCGATTGAAAGCAAAGAAAGTCAGAAAAGTCCAGAACAGACGATAAGCTTCACTTTGAAAAGGGTGTCTTCCGCGCGGATGATACAATCGCCTGTTAGGTCATAGAACTGCTTGTCTTGAACTGTGTGGGATCGGGACGGATTTGAGTCCGTCCTCTTTCGCTTGGCAGGAAGAGGTGTAGCAATGTCTGATGCAATGTCCGTATCTCAGAACTTCAAGAAGACAAGACGAGTGACGGAGCACCCACACTGTGACTTATAAATTGTGCAGATTGCATTAAGTGATATGATATTAGTAAAGAATCTGAGATCTGGAATCTGGAATCTAAATTTTCACAAGACCGATTTTGCATGAGTCATCTTTGTCTGTAAGTTTGTAGGTCACAAACTAAGTCACGGAGCATTCAATTGGATCGTGGAAATTGGTGTTTTGAGCATGGTGCACGCAGTTTTGCATCGACGTCAGCCGCGCCCGGTGCGATCGATAGCGGCGCTCTTTCTAAGTCGATTTGACCCCGGGGACTTGGAAATGGGGCAAGTATTGAGTTAGATATGGGTCAAACAATGCTCCCAGCCCCGTGGCAGTGAGAAACTTTTATATGGTCACAAACTGGGTCACAAACTAAGTCACTGACAGGCTTGTGTTTTTTTATATAAATCCCTCATCCTAACACTAACCACTAACCACTAACTCTAACCTCTAACCACTAACCACTAACCACTAACCCTAACCAACTAACCCAAACCACTAACCTCTAACCCCTAACCACCTAACCCGAACCTAACCGGCTATCGCGGCAAGCTGTTGATATCCATCACTCCGTGATGTGCCGAGTGGTCGCCGCTTGAATGCCAGGAATACTAACTCACAAACTTTCATAGAAAGCCTTCAAAATCACGAACTTTCACGAATTCCCATCAAAGTCACGAAGTTTCGCAACACTAAGCGAAGTAACTAAGTGACGAAGATGGCGTGGACTCATTTGGGACAGATGAAATTGGTACGAACGGACTGACAAACTCTGCACCTTACACATAATGACCCCCAGGAATTATGATTCAGATGATACATTGCGCCAGTGAGATATCGGCGGCACAAATGGCAGTGAAAGATCTAAAGAATAGATGAATAGAAGAAGGTAGTGTAAGACAACGAGGGTGTGCAACCGCGACTTTTAGCTTGCAATTGTACCTGAAGGACGCTCTCGGGAAAAAAGAGGGTCTTCCAGTGTTGCTCCGGCAAGCTAACGGATAGCAATACACCCAGGTGCTTGAGAAGTGTGTAGGTAAATTACTGTAACAAAAGGCGGAGAGAAAAATAAGATAATGGGTGACGTGCGATAAATCAAGCAAAGATCGCTGATCTTATAATTGTACTCGCTATGTCCGAAAGTAACCGGAATGGCCTTCCCGGTGGAAAAGCCAAATGATGCTACCCAACCTCTTGGTCCAGAACTTGCCTGGGGTCTCTATGATCTGTCACAAAACAACCTCCTTACTTCTTTACTTGCCATAAAAGGCTGGATTGAATCAACTTTTGATGCCGGGTGTGATATCATTCTCTAGTGAAACATATAAAAAGTATTATATTTTCCGCTGTTGGGAGGATGTGAGACCCCTGGGGAAAAAAAGGGAAGTGCATCCAAATCACAGGTTAAACCCCGGGCGCTTGTTCAAACCTTGAAATTTGAATCCATTTCAAGGGAAGAACAAGCGCACGGGGTTGAAATTGAGATTTGGATGAAATGACAGACCCCGGGATTGAACCGGGGACACTCTGATTACATGAGACACAGTGAGAGTGTTATCCAACTGAGCTATTCCGTCGACATGAAACTTGTTAGCTTGGTGCCATAGCAACCTAAATCGGGCAATTTGATGAGAGGCAGTGTCCGGCAGTATGGCAGTATGGCAGCGTTCAAACTCCGCCCTGTCAATCAGTTGCTGTTAGTATGCAAACAGCTGTAAACAGAACAATTTTAAAACAGACAAGATAGGCCGCCGCTTAGCTCCGGCAGATGGTGGAAAGGAAAATTAAATTGGAGCCATGCAGAGTCCACACTAGAGAACAATGTTAACCCTGTACACCAGGAAAACGCAAAGTTGCCGGATAGCTCCAGATAGCACAACATAGACTGTGACATAGTAGACATAGTTGGGATAGCAAAACGACCAACCCCATAGAAAGGTGGGAGCGGGGTGGGTCGGCCCCATAGTACCTCATAGACAAAGAGTCCCGTGGTTTTGGGCTGAATGCTCGAAAATCGCCAGTCGTCCATAAAGGTCTCAGTTTGACGGATTTATTGCCTGACCAGCCCTGAAAGCCCTTAAAAATCACTGAAAGTCATATTAATTTGTTTAAATGAGAATGGGACATGACTTCGGTATACGATCTCACCGGGAAGGTGATGGCAGTGTTAATGCAGCGGTCACACGGTGATGTGGAAGCAATGCGGAAGTGATAGCATGGTTGCTGAACCTTTAGGTTTGGCTACCCTGGAGAACTTGGATTTCGGGCAATTTTGCTACATGTACAAACAAAGATTTAGTCATGCAACATTGGTCATCGCGAAAATAAAATCGTAATAGAAGGGGGAAGGCATAGAAATAAATGAAAAATTCAGAAATATGTTCCTCACTCACCTACGGGGTTGAATCTTCCGGAGCGAGCCTGGTTCATACTGTGGAGTGCAAGTGATTCTCCGAGTTCGTTTTTCTGCCCTTATTCATTTCTGCTTTATGTTCGGGACAGTATCCGTTGACAGGTTGACAGATCAAAGCAGTGGCGGCCAAAAAAGCCGAAATTGAACCTCCCTTCGGACTTAGCTCAGCTTTGAGAGCTCTCCTCAGTGTTCCTTCGTGAAAAGGTTCACCTTTTCATAACTATGTGCAATCAACGCAACTCCTCCTTTATCTTCGGTGAAAACTCGTAGCAACTTCAAGGTAACAGAGAGGACTTTTCTCGAACAAAGTCGAATTAGAGATCTCCACTTTTTTCAACAACTTTGCTCCCCTTTCAAGCAGCACATCCAGTGCACAGGACTCTTTGTTTGACTTTACTTCCTCCTCCTCCTTCATGTAGTCCCTGGCTATCTTCTGCAGTGTGCCCTTATCCACTGAATGATGAATTTGAGATCATTTGACTTCGACAGCCATGCCCCAACCTCTGGACTGGGTGATTGGCTTGTACACACAACTCAACTCTCAAGTCTCTGGATTTCTGGATTATTCCGCTCTCATTTGGACCCAGGCAACATTATTTTTTCACCGTAGCCCGCATGCGTAATTGTTGAGGATTGTTAAGAAAAAAAGCTCTCTCGTTCCGCAGGTCAAGTTCATTCAAATTCCTGCCCATTGCCCATTATACAGGAGCCAGGAAAACCTGGTTCCATTGAGTGGTTTGTCCATTCAGAACTCCGGATTCCCGCTGTGGATACTATTATTTGACTCTAAGTCTCTAACCTCGCGTCAGCATGACCTTATGCTGAGATTATCACCATGGATTATAGTCATGTCATACAGGATACCCAAGAAGTGGGAACAAGACAAGACTTTCCCACTTGATTCTGACTCGTGCGGACATGCATTATGCCTTAAGGATACGTCCAATATGACCGCTGCTTGCCAAATAATATTTGCCCTGTGACTTTATTAGGTGCCGGCCAATGGTTGTGAGATCTAGAGAACAATTCGGTGCAGCAGTTTAGACAGTCATATAGCGGGGATCATGCCCACCATCACATCACGGTTCCGGATTTGGCAGTAAACATGTCAAAACTTTGTAGTTGAATATACATTATGCCCTGACCTTAGACATGTCTAAAAACACTGCAGAACACTCCAATGGATGGTAAAGAAGCTACCTTGTGCTTGGCTAGTCATTCAAATAAGATTTCAATTTTTCATCCGGGAAAAAGTGAAACAAACCCTAATGATGCCATCAAATTCCCATATCGGGTAGGGTTAAGAGTCACGTGCCTCTATACTTTTGCCGGCACCCATTCTTTAGTCTGTCTTGGGGGACGCTAGGCATACATGTGAGGGAGGGGAAACCCATTAATATCACCTTTGCACTGTTCCACAGTGTTCTCAATGGCGGGGAAGACCTCTGGAAACATTTTTTTTTTAATGACCCTCGAAAAGTGAAACACCGTGGGAAAAAATGAGTTTTTGGTACCAATCTCATTCTTTTGACCTGTTTCTCGCCTCAGAAAATCAGAAATAAATCACAAAAATTTCTTTGGTGCCGAAAAACACGTGCAGAGAGGTGATGGTGGGCACTGTACGCACCCTTGGATCAGTGGCTAAGTTTAGAACAATCGACTTTAGGCTTTCGTCGATCAGCTTTGAGCTTTGCCAAGCGTCGCCGCAGTGCTGCGAGGCTCAGAGATGCTTTTTCGTGTGATACTTTCTCTCTCTTGACTCCCACTCTCACTTGTCTGCTTTTCAATGCACCACGGTGGTGATTGCGCCACTTCCCAAGTTCAGCTGCAGGGGCCGACGTATGATGAAGATTTCGACGACCCTTACGCGCACTCTAGATCCTCCGTCAACCCTATCTAATCCATCTTATTGTATCTTATCTTGACTTACCTCTCTGACTATCTACTGAACCCGAAAGGCCGCCAACAAACTACACAAACCGGTCGAGGTGACCCAAGACCATAGAAAACAAAGGAGACCGGATTTCTACCAGGCTACTGTGGAGTGGCAGCACTGGCATGCAGCTATGAAATAATATATTGCAACTTCTGGGCAATGAACAAGCTGCACCCAGGACCGCGATCGAGAGACTCTGATAACAATGAGGGCTTCTAGATTAATCGAGACAATCGAGAATGTATTTCGGCCGGGTTTAGCAGGGATAAGGGAGCACTTGACGTATTTAAGGTTTGAATAGACACCCTGCATTCCGGATTTGAATGCCCCACGAGAAAGGGAAAAAGTGTATTTCAGCTGTCCTCTGGAGGGACAATTCTGAAGCCCATGCCTCAATGGTGTTTTGAACCCTGTGCCCCACAATGGTATTTTGAACCCCATGCCCACAATGACATTTTAAACCCCACACCCCACAATGGTATTGTAAACCCTGTGCCCCACAATGGCGTTGTGAACCCCATGCCCCACAATGGTATTGTGAACCCCGTGCCCCACAATGGAACCGACCATCCGGTGCATTATAACGTATTTCGGCTGGGTGCAGCAGGGATAAGGGAGTGACCTGACTCCCTATATAGTCGGTAAAGTCTAGAATGGAATAATTACGGTATATATATGAATGGTGACGACTTGAAGTCCCCATAGGACGGAGGCGCATCATCCTTGGATGAAGATATCCGACATCGATAGTCACTCCTCATAAATCATAACACTCGCAGCACAGATTCGTGGGCGGAGAAAAACCAGAGCGCACTGCTATTAAGAGAAGGCAGATCGCACACCGATTCAGTTCGGCGCGAACCTGAGCACGTGAATCCAACTTACTGCATAGGCTTCAGTACATCCCATATCAATGCAGAGCTGGAGATGAGTACGCCCTGCCGAAACAAACCAGAAGGATAGCAACCTGCCATTAGCGGCAGAGGATGATCTCACTATCGGAACAAGCACCACACACCTTGTTCCCTCACCTGAATCTCGCCAACCATGCCGCACTGCACACTGTGTTCCCATCTCTCCTTGGAAACCCCGAACTCGGGATCTCGAGTGACCAAGCTACACACTCATCCCACGCGAGCCCAGGAAGACGACGGCAGCCGCCCCCGACAATAAAATCCGCAACCCCCAAAATGGACAGAAGATTTCCTTGCAGTGCACAATGTCAACGCATCCTAGCACCCTCGGCAGGATTTCTTCAACTCAAGTCTCCCCCTCCTCGTTGGGTCAAAACTAGCCACGATGTCGATACAACCAATCAGGGCTATCCATTGGGGTTGCATGTACTTCAGAAAATGGCCCTGGAGTCGTGCCGGGGACAGTGTTTGAAAATGTAAAGGAGGGCAATATGGTCATGTGTTTGAAAATGTAAGGCATTGCAATCCGGTCACGCGTTTGAAAATGTACGGCATTTTTTAGCAATACAGTCACGCGTTTGAAAATTTAAAGTACTGATTGTATGCGAGAGAGGTCCATAATGCCTCCAAGCAGACTCTTTTGGGCTGAAATGACCAGAATGACCAGGGCTATCCATTGGGGGTGCGCACACCTCAGAAAATGGCTCTGGAGTCGTGCTGGGGGTTGAAAATGTTAAAATGTGAAGGAGGGAAATACGGTCACGTGTCTGAAAATATAAGGCATTGCAATACGTTCACGCATTTGAAAATGTACTCAGATCAGGAAATAAATGACTTAGCTACGGCGCTACATAGTGCTATGACTACGAGTCTTAAAATTTTATTTTTAAACTCGTTTATTTAGTCACGTTTTGCGAGCCAGCGAGGTCGAAAATCCGATGATGTCACTGTAATGTGTTGGAATTGTTTACTTTTATGGTAATTATACCGTCTCCATTCGGGCAATGTGTACTTTGTCTTTAGTCATGCCTTCCCTTTCCGGTCTTTTGTTGTTCTCTTGGTTTGCACGTAGTTGGCTGTCTGGTCTGTTGACTTGAATATGTACTCCTACTGGTAATCCACATTATGTATTGCTCAATTCCGATCTGCAGCCAAGAATATAATGCTGCGGCCACCTACTCGTGTTTTCGTGGTTTTGCGTAGTTTCGCTGGCCTTGGCCTCCAGCCACAAAGTCGGGTCAAAAAACCGGGATTGTAGAACGTTTCGTATAAGTTTCTATCGGGGTGGGGTCGACCTCGCGCTACACACCCTCG